GTGTTCCCCCCCTATGCCTATCCACCCCAGATCGTTGCCGCTCATCTCTCCGCTCTCCTTTGCTTACCGTCCTTGCCTTTGTATGCCCTGGTCTGGACAAGCGCCTGGCCAGCGGCAATGCTTCACATAAGCTGGTGTTCCGTGCAGGCACGGCGTGGTAGACTTGGCCACCGCTTGAGAGCTAATATCGATCGCGCTGGTCGGGGGGGGGGGCCTCGTCTGTCCTGCACAGGGAGCTTTTTCCTAGTACCCCGAGGCGGGTTCGACGCGGGTTTGTCGCGGGTTCGACGCGGCTTCGGCGTGGAGGCCACGCGGATTCGACTCGAATCCGACATTCGGCATGGATTCGACATGGATAGCGGCGCGATGGATTTGAGAATGTCCCCTGAAGATGCGATAGAGCATTGAGACGTGAGGAGCAGCCTTGGCAGTGGCAGCATCCACAGGTCGCCTCCCGTGTGACTCCCCAGACTGCCCGGCTCGCTCGGGGCGACCTTCGGTGCTGTTGACAAATGATGACGGTCGCGATCATGGTGATGATGGTGGTGATGCTGACGGCGACGCCAGCCACGATGATCAGGATGAGTATCGTGATGGCTATCGGAGCCGACTGGCGTCTCAGCACTGGTTCCAGCCAGCGGCTAGCAGAAGGGGAGGGGGGGCAAGGGGGCCCTTTTCGTCTTCTCTGGACGACCTTTTGGGGGCTTTCGTCGCCACGGTTGGACGCGGCTCGAACAATTTGTGCATTTGGATATCCGGAGGGGTCCGGGGACCGATTTTGAGCGGATTTGGCTTCATCCCCCCTCTTGACCGATTCTCTTGAGGCCCATCCAGCGCAGCCCCCCTGGCCACCTCCAAGATGGCTTCGCCCTTGAGGCGGACAGGCAATAGAGGCGGTTTCCGACGGCCGGCTGCCGTTGGGCGCAGCACCGCAGGAGGGTGAGCTCTGCGGGGAAGGAGGCGGGGAGTCCCTGCCTCCAGAGCTCGCCCCGATCCGCGGGCCATGAAGCCATCTGCCACGGGCTGCTGGGATGACTGCGGAGGTTGTGAAAGGGATCGGGGGATCACACGCGGATGCCACTGTGGTTTTATGTGGCCCAACCTGGCTTAGATTGGTGCGCAAATGCCCCAAGTTTAAGCAGTGGCGAAGCGTCCTGGCTCGCCTACAGCCCCACGGAACAATGTTCTAAGAACCTTTTGTGGTTTCCACCAAATATTCTTAGAACGTTTCTGGTTGGGGCTGTCTTGCTTTATCACACCAGGTTTATGTTCTAAGAACATGGTTTTTGTTTTTGGAACATCTTGGGGGTTCTAAGATCACCTCGTGGTAGGACTATAGGAATGCCGGGACGGTAGGTCCCTGTTCAGCAAGTGGCTCAGGGGGTTAGCGATCCTGGCGAAGTGGGCTCTGGCCACTGAGCGGAGATATCTAACCCCCACAAGCCACTTGGAGCATTTGTCACCCGCTTATCAGCCAGGTTTGGCCAGGTATAACCAACCCACCTTGGCATCCGCTTCTGAGCCCCCTGTCCACTTAGCAACCCCCGTGGCGATCCCAGTAGGATTCCAGGGTAAGCGCTCACCCTGGAGCCATGGCAACGGATCATGGCTGCACAGTTCACACTTTCAGCCGCAACTCATTGGAGACCGCAGTTCCGCATTCAGAGTGCATTGGCGTGCTCTAGCGTCAGGTGATCGATGGGAAAGCGCTGAATCAGCGTCGATCAACGTCGGCGAGCGTCGACTTGCAAGAGCCAGCCAGAACATGGGAGGCTCCGATGAGTTGCCACCGACCCTGCATCAGAAAGCCACGGGGCAGTGTAGCAAGCGGGGCCCTCGTTTGTCACGCTGCCCCGCGGCTCCCCACCACGACCACGAGGGCCCCTGCTTGCTTCTCTGCCCCGCGGCTCCCTGCCGCGGCCGCGGCCTCTGGCATGCCGCTGGCCAGCCCCGCACCAGGGTGCGCTCCACAGGCCATGGAGCCGCGGGCCACGCACTGGGGCTCCAAGGTGAGCGCTCACCCTGGAGGCACTGCCACGGCCCACGGCTCCAGAGCTCACCCTGCAGCGGAGAACCTCCTTGCACTGTATCGAAATACAAGAAAAGGCGTAAACATGAGTTCTCGGAGGTTTGTGTGGATTTCTTGGAGTGGCGTTGGGCCCTCTGGCGGCGCCTGGCGCCGCCCCTGGCGCGCTCTGCGCGCCAGGGAAGGGAGGTCCAGCGACGATCCCAGACACCCGCGAGGCTCTCCAAGAAATTGTGCCTGCAGTTTTGGTTGCCCTGGCGTGGCAAGCAGGGCCCCTGCTTGCCATGCTGCCCCGCGGAAGAGGAGGAGGA